CACTGCTCCCCCGCCCCAACAGGCTGTGTCCTCACGCCGTACCTAGCTCGCGGGGGGTACGATGGGTCGTGGGTTCGAGCCATTGCCAGGCGCCAATGTTGCAAAAGAAGGATCCACGAGCGGGATTCGAACCCAGCACCCCTGTCTTTCCGGGACAGTGCCCTACCGATTAGGCTACCGGGGATCACACACACTCATGGGTCCTTCTTGCTACACACCTAGGTTGACGTTGCCACGGTCGCACAACCTTGCCATGGCTACGCTCACGAGGTTGACTTTCACTTTGTGTAGGTCATTAACAACATGTTCGAACAGCGCCCGTCCATAGATAGAGTTCGATATTTTTTCCTGCAAAGACGAGACGAACAGGGCCCAAACCCCCTCCCCCCAAACGAACGAATATCTTCTCTAAAAAAACATCGATATTTGTGGACGACCCCTAATCGTGATTTTTGATGGGTGCCTCGCGCTTGTTTTTTTTTCTTTCGCAAAAAAAGATGATCTGCTGAATCAATCTTGAGTATTTGTTGAAGAACTAATTCCGTGAAAAGGTCTATCCATCTCATGGAACAGCATTTGTTTTGCTCTTGTGATACATCTGTGTCATCGTCATATGGAAAGGTACCACCCTTCCGAAATTCGTCCCGATCGACGGCATGGAGCAATAGAACAAAGGTGATTTCCTTGAGAACAATACGTGTACGATTGGAGATGAAAAGCGAGTGCACCGATTTCGAAGTCGAAAAAATCTCTAGGACACCACACGATCGGCACTAATTTCTCCTCAGTTGTGATCAACCAGTACTTCTCTACCTTCTTTGTGATGATGAGCATTTCATATTATGGTATGCTAGAGATTCGGGAGTTCACTTTTCGGAATGAAATGTTCCTAAGTTTGTCAAGGATTGAAATGCGGGCTACGTCGTCGTAAACAGCTTGTATCGATACAGGAAAAATCTACGGCACGCAGGGATATCTCCCAAAGTGATACCACTCTTGCTGGACTTCTATCCTGACATAGTGGTAGTTTGGTCGACTACCGAACTTTGTGAAGGCAGACAATTGTTGGAAATTCTCAGCGCTGAGTTTCTACGGGCTGCTGTTGGAGTCTCTTTGGCGGTAGGTATTTTACTACTCCCTGATCGAGAGAATCCTGATCCGCGCGCGTGTCTACACACTTAGGTACCCATAGTACCCCAATCTCACCCGCCGGGTGAAAACGGTGCTGAGGCAATCGTCAAACTGGCCGTACATGGTACATGCTCGTGTCACCTCCCTGTACTACTCCCTGCATGCATGCTACGAGGTGCCGTGACATCAGTGTCCACCCTAGCCAGTATAAAAGCGGTCCGATGAGAAGTAACTTTAGTTGACGACTGGGAGTGGGACACTCAGTGGGAGAGATTCAATGTATTCGGCCCAGTCGCTCGTATACACCGGCGCCACCGGTACACAGTCTGGCAACTAGTCACCTCGATGAACAAACACATGCTCGGGCAATTAAAGGGGAAGTTAAGGCAAAAAATAAAATTTCACCAGTTGTAGTCTTCGGGGTGCTGAGTCGAATGGTCGTGGTCCGAGGAAGCTGAGACGCTCCCTTCCTACTTGAATCCCAATCGAACTCGCGCACTTCCACCGAAACTGGGTGACTGCGCCCTACTAGATGGGGATTTGTATGCAAAATGTCACTAAAAGCGCCATTTCGTTCTTATAAAAGCACGGATGACCGCGATTGGCGCATATGTTGTAGTCTTTTGGACGCTGAGTCGACTGGTTTTGGTCCGAAAAGGCTGCGATGCAGCGTTCCTTCTTTATTCCTAATCGAACGTGGTTGAATAAGCGGTCACGTGCTCCTGGGTGCCCAAATCACCTGGTCCCCACGCCAGCAGGCGACAACTTTCACACCAAGGTTCAACTCGAGTGACAGGACTGCACCCAAAAAAGGTCAAACAGGCTAGTAAGTTGTACCCTGCAGGCACGGTGACCAGGTGACTGGCGTACGCAGCAGCACGTGACCGCTTCTTCAACCATGTTCGATTGGGAATAAAGGTGGAACGCTGCATCGCAGCCTTTTCGGACCAAAACTAGTCGACTCAGCGTCCAAAAGACTACAACATATGGGCCAATCGCGGTCATCCGTGCTTTTATAAGAACGAAATGGCGCTTTTAGTGACATTTTGCATACAAATGCCCATCTAGTAGGGCGCAGTCACCCAGTTTCGGTGGAAGTGCGCGAGTTCGATTGGGATTCAAGTAGGAAGGGAGCGTCTCAGCTTCCTCGGACCACGACCATTCGACTCAGCACCCCGAAGACTACAACTGGTGAAATTTTAATTTTTGCCTTAACTTCCCCTTTAAGTTAGGCACAAGGTCGCTGAGGCCTTCGACAAACGTCTCCGTGGACATTGGTAATATTCCCGGATTTGGAAGCTCGACGAAGTAAATAATTCGTTGGTAGCTTCTACGTGGAGCACACGCTTCCTGACACTCAACACCGACTGCCACCCGGAGCGCACGGGGCAGAAAAATGAAAGACTGCATGCACTACCGCCAGTACCGGCAATTAGTAATTACTGTAATATTAATAACTATAATATCTAGACTATCCTACGGCTGAGAACAGGGGGTCTGAGGAGCTTACCGTCTGTTAGACTGTAGCTGTACTTATTTGTAGAAACTGTGAAGTCAGACGTCGGTTGACCAATAATATGACAATCGCTGGTTTACTTCCATGTACTATTACGGTAGTAGTATTAGTATTACGTACTCCAGAGCTTACCAATCATCATGTCCGGCTGTAGCCGTTCGGAAACAGCAGGAGCAGCAGCAGCAGCAGCACTTTCTTAGCTAGTCACGAGATTGCTCATTCACTTTTAGTTTGACAGAATGTCGTTGTGATCCTCCCTGGACCGCTGCAGCAATGAAATGGGCCCAAGACTACAAGACTGAGCTTCAAGAAGCGAAGCCAGCGACGATTCAACCCATCGAAAAAGTCACACAACACAAGTCGGACCAGTGCAGCAGGCTCTTTTGCAGGTCATGGTGAGTGCACAGCCGAGTGTCAGCGCTAGAAGTAGTACTACAGTGGTCCCTCTATAATCCGGCACCGTTTGTGCCACGGAAATCTGCTGGATTAGGGAGGGTGCTGGATTAGCAAATCGGATTTACAGCTGCAATGTGCATGAAAAGGACATTTTGGCTACTGAAAATTGTGCTGGTTTATCGAGGGTGCTGGTTTATAAAGTGCTGGATTAGAGAGGGACGACTGTACTACAGTCTGTATCGGCTATAGCGTACCCTTTTGATTACCGTGATTTTATCACAATATGCGATACGATCGATTTCTTTTTTCTTTTTTTCGATCGACACATGAAAGGCAAGGAAATACTTACAGCATGGCGTTTTGACAAATGAGCATGCTGCATAGTTGACAGTGCCTGCATTTCCATAAAAAAATTATGTTTTAAAAGTACATGCACATGTATCACTATAAAAAATTTAATAAGCAACATGAAGAAAGTAAAAATAGGGCCTTTGATATTATTGCTACATGTATTTTAACGTTAACACTATAGCCGATAATAATATAGTGTGTTACGCATGTTTTGATTCTTTGTTGCCATCATACTATCCGATATATCATTACATCCGATAATATTGGTTATAGTGATATTTTTTACTGGATAAAATACGTTTTGCTTTTGATATTTCGTACCAATATCACAGTAGCCGATATATTCTTATATCCGGTCACTCTATAGCCGATACAGACTGTACTAGTACTAGAAGATACATTGTAGATCTACCGGTAGTGGACTACTAGTGGTGATAGCTATTAAACTCACTTTTGAAGTTTTGTAGTTACTGAGTTACAGAGTAGCTATCACCATCCATGCATGATTTCGGAGACTCAGCGGCAACAGCACTAGTTTGTAGTCGACTATTGTCTATTGAGCATGAGTAGATCCTGGCTAGTCAAGAGAGGGTTTTTATTTCCACGACTCCCTAGGCCCTGGGCCCTGGTTGTTTGCATCTGTGGTTGCCGAGCAACGTGGTTAGTAGTCATGGGTACAGGACAATAGGAAGACAGTTAGGGGCCGGACACATTGAGGGAACAATCCTCAGATTATAAACCGGGAATAATCTGTTCTGCTTTTCATCACGGTCACACTGGATACGCACAATGAAAATAATCTCACCTTCACGAGCTACATTTTTTGTCACCATTCGCTTCTGGCACTCCCTGCACAACTCCCTGCATAACTCATTTGCAGAATACCAGATGATCCGGCAGAGAGAGAGAGAGAGAGAGAGAGAGAGAGAGAGAGAGAGAGAGAGAGAGAGAGAGAGAGAGAGAGAGAGAGAGAGAGAGAGAGAGAGAGAGAGAGAGAGAGAGAGAGAGAGAGAGAGAGAGAGAGAGAGAGAGAGAGAGAGAGAGAGAGAGAGAGAGAGAGAGAGAGAGAGAGAGAGAGAGAGAGAGTAATGCATGCTGGGGATGCCCACGATAGACATGGCCGGGCTGTCCTTGGCTTCATTTCAAAGAAGTTCATCCATAAAATTCAGGCTTGAATACGGGGTTTCGTCAACAATGTTCATTTCCGGCCACGTTCCTCATTTCTTTCGTTCATTTGGCTTATGCGAAGACTAGCCAAGCTTGCTTGGTGATGCCAACGCAAACAAGCATAGTAATAATAATAATAATAATAATAATGATAATAATAATATGCCATTGGGTGCCGCATCACCTGAGCTAATCCCTTGGCTAAGGGTAAGGCCCTGCCATAACCTGTCCCCAGTGCTACACCCGACCTTCAAACTGTAGAGTGTAGTGTAGCAAAGTCACCAGCAGCTCAACGTCACCATATGCAGTCCCCAAACCCACACAACACTGCAGCCAGCTCACAACACTGCAGCCAGCTGACAACACTGCAGCCAGCTGACAACACTGCAGCCAGCTCACAACAATGCAGCCAGCTCACAACAAGGGACTTGTACAGGTAGTGACACTAGTGTCTACACAGACACTGACACACTCTTCGTGGATCATTTCAAACAACAGAGGACCTAGCATTAAAAGATGACACATAAAGCAGCGATGACTGAGAAAGAGGAACATCAGCTTGGTAACACAGTCAAAACAATAAAAATAACCTGGCTACCTGCAGCAGTTTCTTGGATAGCTTTCTTATTTATAGAAAAGAACTAGGACAGAACAAAACTGTACTGCAGTACAACAGTAAAACAGACTTGGGCAGAGATGTATCACTCTGGTCCTTTCCAGTGCATATGACAGCTTGGTTGAACACAGCCCATTCAGCATCCCCAGTATTCGGACTAAAACAAAATAGACTTCTCATATCTTTGCACACAGATGATAAGTTACAAGCAGGACAGCCGCACAGGCTTTGACTCCGTGCAGGTGAGCGGTTCGTTCGGATGGAGACAGATAAAGAGAGAGAGGGAGTGGAGATGAGATGTGCGCACACCGGCAGGGTACTGTTGCACGGCGCGAACCAGCGTTAGCAGCGTGACTACTTCGAGTATTACCTATAGCCACGGTGGCTGTGTGTGTGTGTGTGTATGTGTGTGTGTGTGTGTGTGTGTGCGTGTGTGCATGTGTGCGTGTGTGTGTATGTGCGTGATCTGTATCAGTGTCGGGGTCCGTGTCAGCCTACTTGGAAACTAGACTCCGTACTACGCAGTGGCTACAGTGTATACAGTGTCCACAGTGCATACAGTGGCTATGGGGTGCCTAACACTATCCTAAGGTGCAGCTATGAGTGGTGGGATTACGGCAAGGACTTAGAACACCACTTACAACAAAACGAGATAAAAAAGCGTAAGCTGAGGGGAAAAAGGGGGAAAGGCTTGCTACGAAGCAATCAGACACCGGATTTCATGGATATGGAATATTTTCAGTTTTCATACCTGTCACCTATCAGCCCTTGCTAGTGGCCGTTTCTTCCAGCGTTCAGGAAGATGGAGGGAAAGGGGAAGGCGGTCGGAGCAGGAGAATGAACAATGCTACACAGCAGAGGTTTCCCAGAAGTACTAGGTAGACATTTGCTTGCTGTCTGGACTGTATGTGGTGATAGTCGGAATAACAGCGTATTGCAATACACTGCCAGATATGCAGTAAGGTCTACTAGGTAGACAGACACAGAGAGACAGACAGGCTTTCAAAGGTATAGCTGCCGCCCTACACACACATACACACACACACACACATATACACTCGCACATACACGCGCACACACACACACACACACACACACACACACACACACACACACACACACACACACTTGGAACTGATGATTCTCGCACACGAGAGCCAAGCACAGACGCACAGCGTTATGTCATGTGCACCATACCACACCACACGGTGGCCATACAGCCCTAAGACGGACACCACACGGTGGCCATACAGCCCTAAGACGGACACCACACGGTGGCCATACAGCCCTAAGACGGACACCACACGGTGGCCATACAGCCCTAAGACGGACACCACACGGTGGCCATACAGCCCTAAGACGGACACCACACGGTGGCCATACAGCCCTAAGACGGACGGACACCACTCAGTCGATGTCTATGCCCTTTACGTCCACCACGCAGTCGTGTTGAGATAGCAGTGCGGCGGACTCAAAATCCTCTGCACAAATCAGGCATGACAGGCTGGTCAGAACCTTATCCGGCCGGCAGATATGCTGCTTCACGATCAAGCTGTTGGCGTACCAATTCTTGCAAACGCGGCATCGATCCCGCACAGTCTCGCTGTCGTGCTTCTTTCGCTTGTGCTTGTTCAACATACCTCTGTTCTTGAAGCCTTCGCCACAAACGTCGCACACATCATGTTTGACACCCAAATGCTTGTCCCGGCAGGACGCCAGTTCACTGGGGAAGCGGAACGTTTTGCTGCAGAACTCACAGGAATAGGGCTTCTCTTCCGTGTGTATTCTGAAGTGCATCTTGAGATTGCCCACCTGGCGGAACTTTTTATCGCACACGGAGCACACATGCTTCGGCTCTGAGTAGTGTATGCTGATGTGCTTTTGCTGCTTCTCGGGAGAGTGGAATGAACGCCAACACAAGGGGCATTGGTATTTGCCTGCGATCTTCCTAGGGTCAATCCTTGCTGGTGGTGCGCCACTGCTGCTGCTGGCTGCAGCCACTGCCTTGTCAGTTTTCCGCTTAGGTCCATTCGCTGCTGCTGCACTGCTACTTGGCTCCGCAGCTGCACTACTGGCATCCTCTGCAGTTGGCTCGGCTTGTGAGCTGGCAGCAGCACTGGCTTTTGCGGGCTGCCGTGCACTCTTGCCTGATGCTTTTGCAGCCGCCGCCTTGCCACCTTTGGGCTTGCGGCCGCTCACAACGGCGCCAGAGGCTGAGCTGTCCAAGCCGTTCTCCACGGCTGCCTGTGCCGACGACTGCTGTTCACCATCCAAACCGGCTGCCAGTGCCGCAGACTCATCGCCGGTAGCAGTGGACGACGACGTCGCCTTTGAAGACGCAGACTTTGCTCGCTTCTTGGCCGGCTGTGACGAGGCTTTGGCGGCTGCCTTTTTTCTTCGTCTCGGCGCCCTCTTGGTTACGGGCATCTCCCAGTCCTCGTCTTCCTCGTTGTTGTAGTCTTCATCGGCGGTGTCTACGTCGGACGACATGATGATTAGATCATCACCAGTCACCACATACTCCAATCCGTCATCATGCGGTGATTCATACTCCCCGTACATGTTGTCAGCAGCAGCAGCAAAGGCAAGATTATCCTCCAGCCGCGGTTCACTTAGCTGCAGAGAGCCATCACTGGTCGCAGACGATGTGGTACTACCTAACGGAGGCGTTGGCAGCGGATACGGTAGAGGAGTCACGGTAACGGATATACATGGCGGAAATGCTGCTGCTGCCGCTGCCGATGATGATGATGATGATGCCGGTGGTGCTTTCTTGGATGTTAAGCTGGATAGCTTGCGCGGGTTAGCCTTCTTGCGGCGATTGGAGCGCGCTGCAGCAGCGGTGGCAGCTGCGTCCTCGTCCTTTTCCAGAGCGAGGTCCTCATCTTGAATGACAACATTAACAGTGACGTCAGACGCTGTGACCGGGGATGGTGTGATCAAAGCGGATGATGTCGGAGATAGACCACCGCTAAACACCTACATGAAGGGTAGCAACGATTAATACCAGGAAAACAATTTGTCATTTAAATTACACACTTACCCAGGGTCAGGGGTTGCAGCCAATATACCGTATTCCCCGAATATAAGTCTTGCACCTTTTCACACTCAACTTCAGGGCAAACAAACGGGTGCGACTTACAATCGAGCATGATTACGACTGGAGTGAATATACCGAAATGATATGACATAGACCTGAAAATAGGAGTGCGACTTACAATCGGGGAAATACGGTAGCTTATATTGGGAGAAGTACAATAGGCACCGTATTGTTCCGGAGTATAAGCCGCACTTTAAACACTAGTACTTCACCCCCAAAAAGTCTTAGGTGCGGCTAATACTACCATGGTCAAAATAACGGTGAAAAACAGGGTAGATGCCTGCCTGCATTTCGTGACAATACTCTGGGTGCGGCGTATACTCCGGAAAATACGGTACACTAGAATAGAAGAGACAGAGAGCAAGTGGCCACGGCTCAATAAAAGGTGATGAATCTACCCTGCGGTTTTCCCCAAACACTACCTTTAGTGCATGTACCAACGGACACAAACTGGAATGCAACGGTTTGCTTCCCAGACAGAAACTCACAGACACCACAATTTCTCTGTTATTTGACAATTAGTAATTGAACCCAACTTCCGAATGGAACTGAAGTTCATGCACCCAACATTAAGAGTGCAGAGAATGCCAAAGTTTGAATCCCCACTCGGACGAATTAAGCAAAAGCCGGTGTGCTAGTATGAGAGAATGTGGATTTTTTAGAGACACTTTTAGCGCATTACTACAGGGTGCTATGCACACACGGTCAAGGGGAAGTTGAGTGAAAACCGAAATGTCCCGGGTCACTAGAGTGCGAGGCATTAAAGCAAACTGTGTTTGGCCGAGGGGGCTCAGATATTCCCGACCAAACGTGACCGCGCAATCTACCTAATCTGCTGGTGACACCACCGCATGCAGCCGGGTAACCACACAATCAATTTGCGTACAAACAGCCAGTGTTCGGGGGGGGGGGGCGCGCTCGATTGGAGAACTGTTCGGCGCAGCCTCTTTGGACCAAGACCATTCGATTCAGTGCTACGGTTACTGCACTCCACTTAACGCATGACGTCGTGGCCGCGCAACGTGTCGTGGTCGAAAAATTAAAAATAAATCGAGATTCCTGGGCAGGACCCATGTGAAATTGGTGCAGGTGAATTTTTCTTTTCTTTTCCATGTATGTATTGCAAGCTGAACTTTTTTACAGTATTTTCAGGTAATTTATCCCTTTAAGGGTCCTATATTTGACAAGTGGTAACGAAACACTGACTTTAGATGGTAAACACGGTCGTACTTAGCTCAAACTTTGCAGCCAGGTCGCGGAGATCGTCACCTTGATGTAGGTGTCAAAATAGTGTGGGTCACGCATATAAAAAATGCCGTGCAAAGCGCTCGAAGTTTGACTATACATTTTGCAAGCGCAGGCCTCAATGGTGTCACCCTCTTGTTCTTGCCTCTGGAATCAACAGCATTTCGCGTAGATGCTTCAATCAACTTGCATTCTCTGCAGGTAACATCTTTTGTGACCAACACTGTGTGTACAACTGTACATATTTCAAAGACCTGCCACATATTTAAAACCATGCCAAAATGAGTCTGATGTGCGTATAAAGCGTTTTAGTTGTTCTGTTGGACACTTTGCCAATTTTAGCACCTTTTACACATCTGAGACCATGTTTTTCGAATTCAGATGAACAAAACTTTCAGAAAATGTATGGGTCTGTATTACAAACTTATTTTTTTTTAGGTAAACGCATTCTATGTGAATCCTCCCGAAATGTGCACATTCTCCGAAAATAGTTCGACCCTCAAAGGGTTATATTATTATACTGTATAAATTACAGTTTCGTGCCCTGTTATCGCACTTTCTGACTGCTTATTATCTTGTTACAGTCGTGGATAGTTGCTTCATAACTCGTTCTCATGTGTTTATCTTCTATTTTACATTTTTAAATACAGTACAGTCAGACCTCGCTTATCCGGTCCTCTTTTATCCGGATCCCTCGCCATCCGGAAGAAAATCATTGGTTACCGATTTACAGCATATGTCATGCATACATACAGTATGTGCGTTCGGTTATCCGGTTCCCGCGTCTATCCGGATATTTTTGTGGAAAACGGATGTGTGCGGTTATGCGAGGTCTGACTGTACACGATTTAAGAAGAAAGGAAGTGGACGCAGAGTACACGATTTACTCATATTATTTGGGTATTTACTATTTCGCCCAACGACGGTCCTACAACGTAGATCTTCTATAGTAGCTATGTCGGTGCATGCAACCAGCACTCATACCCGTAGGCCGTACTAGTACAGTATATGCAAGCCTTGACGATGACAGCATGTTACAAGGCTAGGCAGTCATACTCGTAGTGTGCTGCATGGCCAGCCGCAAGGAATGAGTCGAGAAGACCTACATCAGTACATGTATCTGTAGGTCCTAGCTCTACGAGTACGAGTTGCACATCAGGGAGTCGCACAAGCGCTTAAAAGCCCGTGTTTGTAAGGCTCACTCAGGGCCATACATGTACCGTAAAGTCCACAGCAAACGCCCACCCCAGCGGGTCCATACTATTTTCGTCTTTTTCAGGTCAAGAAAGTTGTAAAAAATCGTCATAAAGGTTGAATGCGTACGAGAACGACTGTAATGCCTATAAACTGCCTATGTCTTACCAGGAGGCTCTGCAAAAGCCATTGTCATCATCTTGCATCAAAGAAAAACTTCTGTCGTGATTTCCTCGCATTCGATAAATGAGTCAGTCGTCTTTGTATCAGTTCGTTCTCCATGCGGAAATGCCGTAGAATCTATCTGTATCTGGTTTTCAAATCATGAAATTTCTGCAGTACCACGATGCCACGCTCTCTGAAGTTAAACGCAACGGTTATTCACGGAAGATAGGATTCTTCTGACGAAGCGTCACTCAACGACTTGACCGGTTGCAGTATTGCAGTTGCAAGGCGAAAAGGGGGATATCACAGAATCTACAGCTACAAAGTCGCTGCTAACTTTATGAAAACTCTGGACTGATGTGCACGGGAAAACTTCTCTGCGCGTTGCGTGATTTGAATGATGGCTTGAAACACCGTCAGAAGTGTGTTTGGTTCGCTACCTTGTTACTCGGAAGAAACTCCCGTTTGGATCTGCGAAATAAAACAACCAACATCATAATCGTCACAACGAGCTAGCTCATACTGTCATAGCTAGGTCCTGACGAGATTTTGAAACCAGGAAAGCGGACATAGTTTACCGTAGCAAAGAGCTCTTCGCACTACAGTGTGAGATGCACTTTCGTACGGATTCTATGATAGTGCATGGGGTCAGTGCGTATAGGCCAGCAGATCTTGCAAAAATGGGGTGGGCGTTCGCAGCGGACTTTACGGTACAAGCTGATCTACTCACACGATCAATGCTGTACATGTACATGAATTATTAAATTGTTTTGACTTCGGCTCGACTTTGGTGCACGGGGGCCCGGAAATCTCAATTTGTTTGTCTCGCCTTACTCAGATTATTGTACACGTAGAAATATTCATGGGAATGAAGTTGAAAACTCTACTCCAGCTGTACTGATGGTTGAATCATGGAGACCAGCTTGAGGGCATGTGTGGGGGACGGCGTACATTTACCGTCATTTCGACAGGTGTGTCTTTATCACCATATGATTCAACCAGAAATATTCACCGCCGATTTAATTTCATCGTCATCATTGCGCGAAATCGTACGACACCTGCACATTCCAGATCTGCCGGGATGCAGATGACGCCGCCCATACATTTGGTATAATGTAGCCCTCAAATCATGCTGTCCAGTGCATGTGGGGGAGTGTAGCATGCAATTGCTTGTACTTTTCAGCTCGGAGTTGCCCTGGCTACCATAGGACGTGATTTTAGCTTCATAGCTTGACCGATGACTTTGTAACGTGTAAATACGATCCCAGCAGGTTCTGTGGATGTCGCCCGTAGATGCATGATTCCCCGCTATATTTTGTCTAGGGCTGAAACGATCATTCAATAACTCTTAACGATCAACCAATATCATTAACGATCGATATATTGGTATTATCGATTCTTGTCGGCTCTACCCGTGTACCTCGAACACCAGTTTATGAAGAAATTCCACGATACCTTTGCTACGTTAGAAAGTTGTGGCACCGCACTGTTGACATCTGTAGACATCTGGCTGGTTTATCAACATGACCTAGAGAATTTCATGTTGTTTCTAGAGCGAAGAATCTTGTCATCACCCTCCGGCAACTCCTTTTATCTCTGACCTTTCCCGCAAATGAACTGAAAAGATAAAGAGTATTCTCTTCCGATCTCTTTCAAAGCCACAAATCAATTTTACTAGGCTTGAAAGTACATGATTGTACTCGTATTCGCTATCGGATGGAGTGCAAGGGCTAGAATACTGTCACTCATATACATGCATAAAAATCGTTAGCACTCGTTTTGAACACTAACGATTATCGATTGCACTCTTAACGATCGATATGCGAGTTATCGGTATAATTGTTTCAGCCCTAATTTTGTCCCAAGAATTTTCACACTAATTTTACATCTATGGACGAAAATTTCAACCAGAAAAAAATCTTTGTTCATAAAGTTACTTCTTCCGCAAACGAAAACTTTGTAACTTTTTATTCACTTTCGAAGGAGTTACTATGATCAAGAAACTCGCCTAGCTGAGCAAAAACACTTCAAGAAAAATGAGAGGATTTACGTTTTGAAGTGTATGCACGATCATACAAAAGAAATTGGCCCGTTTGAATTTCATTTTGCTGTCCCCGGGAAAAATTGCGGAAAAAAATCGCAAAAAACGCGGGGAAAAACGCGGCATAATATGGCATAATTTGCGGTGAATTTGCGGTAAATATGCGGTAAATATGCGGTGAATGCGGCAATTTTCAGTGAGTATGTAGTGAAATCAATCAGTTACAAGTCTCTGGTGTAATCGCTCGTCATATTTGAGTAAAAAGCCGCCACGATGAGACGTTGCTGACCGAACAGTGCACTGTGTGTACGTGTAGTGCAACAAAAAAGTTTAAAAAACGCGGGAAAATCGCGGAAAACGCGGTCTTTTAAAAATCGCAAAAAACGCGGAAAACAACGCGGCCGCGGAATCGCAATTTTCCCCGGGGACAGATTTTGAGTTACCGCCCATCGCTCGATTTCTCAGTGCTCAATTCACCAGAACTGACAGCTCGACTCTGATCATAATACTATTTTATTTTGTTACTTGAACGTTCAATGTCTGCTTCTTTACTACTCTTCATCGCATTAATAACACTATTGTCCCCACGTCTCCCGTAAGTTTTTAAAGGGGAAGTTAAGGCAAAAATTAAAATTTCACCAGTTGTAGTCTTCGGGGTGCTGAGTCGAATGGTCTTGGTCCGAGAAAGCTGAGACGCTCCCTTCCTACTTGAATCCCAATCGAACTCGCGCACTTCCACCGAAACTGGGTGACTGCGCCCTACTAGATGGGGATTTGTATGCAAAATGTCACTAAAAGCGCCGTTTCGTTCTTATAAAAGCACGGATGACCGCGATTGGCCCATATGTTGTAGTCTTTTGGACGCTGCGTCCACTGGTTTTGGTCCGAAAAGGCTGCGATGCAGCGTTCCTCCTTTATTCCCAATCGAACATGGTTGAACAAGCGGTCACGTGCTCCTGCGTACACCAGTCAGCTGGTCACCGTGCCTGCAGGGTACAACTTACTAGCCTGTTTGACCTTTTTTGGGTGCAGTCCTGTCACTCGAGTTGAACTCGAGTTGAACCTTGGTGTGAAAGTTGTCGCCTGCTGGCGTGGTGACCAGGTGATTTGGGCACCCAGGAGCACGTGACCACTTGTTCAACCATGTTCGATTGGGAATAAAGGAGGAACGCTGCATCGCAGCCTTTTCGGACCAAAACCAGTCGACTCAGCGTCCAAAAGACTTCAACATATGGGCCAATCGCGGTCATCCGTGCTTTTATAAGAACGAAACGGCGCTTTTAGTGACATTTTGCATACAAATCCCCATCTAGTAGGGTGCAGTCACCCAGTTTCGGTGGAAGTGCGAGAGTTCGATTGGGATTCAAGTGGGAAGGGAGCGTCTCAGCTTTCTCGGAACAAGACCATTTGACTCAGCACCCCGAAGACTACAACTGGTGAAATTTTAATTTTTGCCTTAACTTCCCCTTTAAGGGAGTTTACATATTTATGATATTTTTATCTTATTTTTTGTTTTCGTCTGTTTCTTGCGCAACCAGGCGCCTCCGACATTGGCCCCCCATTGTTGCTCATTTATTCACAACCAAGGAGAAAAGAGTTCCCTTTCCATGTTTTAATGTTTTTTCCTAATTTTATCTCTCTACCAGTGCTTCACTACGACTCTTTACTGCTACAAGCAATTAAATTCAATGAGCCCGCACAAGTGCTAGTAGTACAAGTAAGTCATGACTCATGGTGTTGAGCTGTGCCACGCGCGTGCACGCAGCACTATCATCAGTCCGAGTCATCATTCTCTATGCTGTCCACATCTGTCATTTTGACCAGTAGAGCGTAGCTGGTCAGTCCGTCAAGGCTGCCTTGGGCTGCAAAGATAACACTCCGTGACCGACTCAGCAGCAGAGCGGCCTGAATAGGCTTTGTCGTCTTTGGGCTCTGACCCTGTATTTTCATAGGTCGCGAGAAGAAACTCCGAAAATGCAGCAGCACACTGAACAGGCAGTACAGTGCGCGCACTACCGGCATGCATGATCCTTGGGGAAATTTAAATACTAGTAATGATTATTTAAAACTGAGCCGCCACTTACCTGATGGTCGTAGGTTGTGTGAGCTACTTCCCCCGCGTACTCCATTGCCAAAGAACACTCCTCAAACACGCAGCACTGAGTTGCACCAGCTCAATGGTAGTACTAGCATGAAGCAAGGAACCTAGACTCGCAGAGAGTGACTGCTCCGCCACTCTTCGTCGTCACCTAGTAGTACTGTACCTACAAGTACAAAGTCACTGCACATACACTGATACAGTGCAGGATATGGACAAAATCATGCAAGAAATCGCACACGCCGGCGGATTTAAAAAATCAATGGTAGATCGACTGGTACATGGTAGCTCAAAATCCACGCGCAGGCCATGATTGTTTGTCCTGCAGCGGCGACAATCACACGCGCTCAGCTCACCAACCTTTGTGTTGTCGGACCACGGTGGCGTCTTTCAAGCAACTATCAGTTCGACAACTTGAAAATACGGCTCCTCACGCTCGCCTCGTAGGACTGAGGATGGATGCACTTAAAAACTAAACTTTAACCAGCTCGACTCGGCTTCACCACTGCTAAAAGTCAACACGGCAACAAACGAGGACGAGGATCATGCCATGGGAGATACTAGCTGAAGCACTGGTGGCTGGACATACACAGTGAAAACAGAAGCACTGACTGCTAGCATGCATGCTATGAGTATGACATGCGTGGGAAGGCTGTGCTCCATACTCGACTCATGCTCAGTGCATGCTGTTACGATAAATGCATACAGCCATTAAATTTTATGTACTACGTTACCTGGTCATACTGATCATGGTAAACATCGACAAATAAAGCAGATTTGCGGAGTACTAGCCACTACATGTACACTATAACGTGTGTAGAATATGCGTAAACGTATGGTAGTTTGGTGGCATGGCCATATGGGCCATGCATAACGTGTGCAACAATATTAATATTCGCGGGATCTGCGTTAGCATCACTTGCATGTTCAGATCAGAAACACACAAGCTTGCAAGATAGCCTTCGCTTCCGCGCCTAGGCTAGACCACCACTATTGTAATATGCCTTTTCAAAACTGCTCACCTTAGGCCGATTCCACACTACACCAAATCCTGCCTAAAAAGCCATTTTTCAGGCACTTTTCAGGCAAGTTGCCATGGCGATCACTTTGAGAAACGCGCGAAAGTGAAAAGTGCTTGTTGTCTACAAAGCAACACCAGCACCCTCTTTCAAGGCAACTTTTTACCTTTTCAGGACACTTTTCTGACTTTTCTTCAGCCTTTAGATTTTTTTCCGAATGTGTTCCCTGTCGTATCTTTCAGTTGTGGTGAGTTGTGGGCTGTCAACAATGCCTAGGGTCATGTTTAGCCAGGAGCTTGAGGGCAAGCTGATCGAGCTTTGGAGCGGACATTTGAGGCGACCTCCGGGCGGTACAGTTCGCAGGAGCTACGCCGGAGGAGATCGCCATCAAGCTGAATTAATTATTTGTTTGCTGAACAGCTCCGGGAGGAGGTAATCTATACTGCGTCGATCGTCCATTCCAAAATCGACAACATGAAAACGAAGGCGAAAGGACTGTACGAGACATACACAACGAAAACTGCCACCGGAATGCCTGTTGGCGAGGTTGACAAATATTCGACCTATGATCTGGAATCCGCCTACACAGCGCGCGCTAGCGTGGTCAAATTTCAAGATTGGGCACGCGAAAATGGGTGATATTCGAGGATTTGGACCAACAAAGAGCCTCTCCACTACCGCCGTTGCTACATCAAGCACAGGAAAGCCTCACAGTCTAACCTTCAAAGCAAAGTCCCGTGATCGACACTTGTAGGTGTGAATGCAGCTTCACTTTATAAGCCACTTTATGCCTTCAAGGCAAAGCCACTTTCGGCGTAGTGTGGAATCGGCCTAAGTGGCGAATGCAGACCTCACAACTTCAAGTGAGTCAGGTGTGCAGACGTGAGACTCACCTCCTCTCGATCTCCCCTGATCAGGGGAGAGGAGGTGAGTCTCATGACGAGTCATGTGTGCACACCAATTATTTTATGGCTATGCCCCCCCCCCCCCCCCATACTCCCCCATAGCATGGCAATCTCTGGTTGAGCCCAGGGCCTAGGCTAGGGGTTCATAGTTAAAATATACGACTCCCTGGTTGAGCCCAACTCGATGTACACAGTCATGTACACCATGGTAGAGGGGACGGTTTCAAATAGGACACCGGTTGCAAACCGGAACGGACTCAATATTCACTTTCTCTCTTGGTATTTTGATTAGAAAACATATGTCACAGTGAGACTACTATGTGTTATCCCGAGCCAAAATTTCATGGCTCTGCGATGACCGGTAGCGCCATATCAAGCAGGTGAGTTTTGGACGTGTTGCTTCGCACTGCGACTTGAGTTTTACGACTTTCGAAAAATCAACTTCTTGTCGCAGGTAAACAGCGGCTCGCCTCTCGCCAATAAAGCACCGCATACAAATCAAAACTAATGGAAGCACACACAAGGCTTATTGTTACTCTATACTGGCCGTCGTGGAGCGATAGCAATTACCTAATTTCAGACCCAGAGTGAATTTGACGTGCACTCTAAAACGTGTCCGGTTTGGAGCCACCTCTGATTTGAACTTTTTTGAAGCGAAAAATTGGGCAACTTGGAGGCAATGGGTCAACACAAAGGAGTGGCTCAGTTCGATTGACTCTGGCCCCAGAGCAAACTTCAACATGCCAGTTTCCTTCCACAAACATATTTCGAGTGAAAAATCAACGCTGATGATCGGTTTGGGTCTATACAAATTTGGCTGTCAAAACGTCCCGGTATCGAGCCGTCTCCTCTACACAGTCATGTAGGTCCACCGGTGCACCATATTCGAAGACCTACCATAATACGGAGCATCAGCAAATCGAATATTCGAATGAAATTCGAGAATCGTCACGAAAAGCACTCAATCAGTCGAAACTAGGGCTTTGTTCGACTGAAAAATGCCCGCAAACAGAAAATACTTTTCGAATACTTTTCGAATGCTCCGCGCGTGCTCTAGTACACCATGGTACACGGCGCACTACGAGTAGACCCTGGTGCTCGAAGTCCGTACACTTTTACAGTGTGTGTTTGCCGAGCTGAAACTCACACTAGCAATGATCACTTGCCAGAATCCTGCTCGTGGATGGAAGGTATCTTGTCCAAGTTTGTTCTGAGGCCAGGCTCGATTGAACCAGGCCATCTTTCGATCCGATCTGTTTCTCTGGAGTTCGCTGATTTTTCACATCAAATTTTTGTGTCGCAGAGGGTACTCTAAGTCCGTACTGATCAGAGGTGACTCGAAATACACACATATTTCTGCTAATTGCTAACTTGCAATCCTCGGTTACGACGAAAGCACCGAAGCGATATGTTTGGCATGTGCCTCCACCAGTATTTCTTGCAAAAGCGTAGTTTGTTGCCGAAATGCAAGCTGTTTTTAGTCGGCTCAGAGAAGAAGCAGCTGCGCTGTGAAAACCGCGGGAAAACAGTGGTGGAGATGCCAGGAGTGTCAACCTTTCTGCAAGGATTGGTGGTTCTCTGTAAATTCTTCTCCTCTGGCCATTGTCAGCTCTAAGCTGGCTCTTGATGATTGAGTGAAGGTCTGTTTGACGCTGTGTCCCTTCGAAATCGGTCTTGGCAAAGTTGATTTTTGCATGAAATGTAACCCAATTTGTATTTCGTATGGACACTCGAAAACCCACTCGCGTGGTATGGGACTTCTGCTTATCGTAGATCCCTGAAAATTGCTACGCAAGGAGAACATACCACACTGTCCCCTCCGTAAAATATTTGAGTCGAATACAATAACAGAACATGAAATTATGGGCGTACGAACTTAGGATACCATGTACGGACTTCGAGCACCTGGGTCTACTCATTCTTGCGCATGTAGCTACTAGTTCTTACTAAAGTACTAGTCCGGACTTCTTGTCAATCTTGACGCTTTTCTCTCTCTCGAACTGTGAAACGTTTTATCAAGTGTGCATTTTGTTTCATTTCAAGTATCCTGGAATCATGGCTTTGTCACCAACTACCAGCCCCGGTATGCCTCCTGCTCCCAGTACTGCAGTAGCCCTGCTGGCGTTGTCTCGGCATCTGCGTCTATCGTGAGTTCCCCGCAGGGAGAGGGCAACTCAAAGTGTGCCAAATATTTGAGGGTCGACCTTACCATGGATCTCATTCTGCTGAGGCAGTGTAGGGCCCACCCTCACCTATTCGTCCGCAAATCTCCTGATATGCAAGGGATAGCGGAGGAGCTCGGCCGAGATCCGCCTTTTCAAGGGGTCTCCAAGAGAGATCCTATCGCCAATAGCCTGAATCGGATGAAGCATCCGCCGCTTCGCGTCATCCCCAAAGGCAATGAGAAACAACAGCAACTCCGTTCATTGCACATCCCAAAATCCCAGTCCTCAACTGCTCAAGCTAAAAAAACTCGATTCGAAAATACTGGACTGCGCTACATGCTGAACCTCTTTTTCATTCGAATTTTCTCTCTGATTTTCTTTTTGCCATTCGAATAATCAAATCGAAAATTCGATTTGCTGATGCTCCGTAATATCCCGTAGATCAGCGCAAGTACAATGTAGCTCGGCGGGGGCAATGCTATCAGCTCACACACTGTGAGTCAGTAAGTCCCGATAGCCTGGTAGTCTGGTAGATCAACGAGTTTTCCACTCAAGTAGTGCCAGCTATGTACATGATTGTACATGGTAGTACTATTAGATCCGGGGCTCTACCAACCGTGGATAGTTGTCATAGTATAGTATAGTATTTATTCGCATTTCTCTAGGGCAGTCCCCACAGACCTATGGTCTCCTTACGGGGTACCTTAGCCAATCTAGGATTGCGATACGAAATTGACTTGGTGAAGCAGCAAGGCGGACCGATGCCGGAACTGAGTTCCGGCGGTCAGCGGCTAAAGGAAGAGAGGAATACTAGTAACCAAATCGAGAGGAGGCTCGTGGCAGTACAAGTCCGAGCGAGACTTGAGACCTTGTGCAGGTGCGGCTACGTGCCTCAGGCACGAAGGCAGAAAAGGCGGCACAGAAGTGAGCTGGCAGAAGAATGAACGCATCTGAATACAAGAAGATACAGTTTCCGTGCCAAGTGCGAGATGAAGGCTGAACTTGTTTTGAACACCGAATGTAAGCTTCCCGCATTGTCCTCTGCATTTGGTTAAATAGTGTCTGTTTGCTGAGGGAGAAACGGATAGTGATGGGCGTGAGGTTGTTTCGAGACAGAATACACTGGACATCTGCGGTGGGTGGGTAGCCAAATACAGTACGCAATGAACAGCGAGAGATCATGTAGTAAGGACTTTTATAGTCTTGTTTCCGAACACAGTCACAGTGTCCTCCACCTTGTTTCATGCTGTCAAACCAACAATACATGATTGTATGATTGTAGTAGTAGTAGTAGTAGTAGTAGTAGAATTTATTATTTTGATAGGGAAGGCCCTACAGACGTTGCCGTCTTGTTACAGGGAACCCTAAGTGCTCTTTACAGAGCGAAACAAAAACGGATAGATGCTCAACCTGACGACACGAGACAGGCAGAGAATTCCACCTATCAGCGCCAAGGAAAGAAATAGAGAACATGCCATATCTAGTGGTAGCAGCGGGCAAAGAAAGT